CTTCGAAGTTTGATGCAAAAACGCATGATCGCACCGGCTCGCCTGGTGCGTTCCAGCCTGGGTTTAGAATTCATTAAAAGTGTTCAGCCAAAAAGTGTTTTTTGAAAAAATGCTAATTACAGTGATTATCACAAGCACAGGTCGATTTTAGTAAACTGTTGCTGTCTTGAAAAAACTAATTAGTCATATAATCAGTGCACTGATTGCAGGAACCGCTCTGAGGAATGGGGTGTGAAAAATGACCATGGCTATGATTTCACTCTTCCAGCCATGCGAACAATATTTTACGCATTTGGCCCAAATATCGCCAAAACCACTTTGGGGCCATTTCAGAACATAGAATTGTTTAATCTGATGGCAGGTAATCATACCTGAATATATCCTTTTGGCTCTTACATTCAACTTTAACAAATGAGTGGTTGTTTCTTGTCGTACTGGTGCTACACTTTAATGCATTATGTTTGCCATTTCTCAGACAAAGCAACTGCGATACCTACGAACTTTGTGCAGTGACCACGATGATGACGAACTGCTCTGTTATGTGTTTTTGCATATACGTGCAAATGCAAAAAGCAGATTAGCACGAGGTTGCCTGTGTGTGCGTTTGCGTGTGTTTGTGTATGTGTGTGTATGTGTGTGTGTGTGTGTGTGTGTGAGTGTGTGTGTGCGTATGTGTGCATGTGCATGTGTTCGAATTTTGTCACACGCTTTCAACTCTGCAACCAGAGAGACTAAGTAGCTGGAAATTTTGGAGCATGTCCCCACCACATATGCAGCCCTCCCCATTTAAAAACAACATTCTCTTACGCTTGGGTCCTGCGTACGGACTCTGAGAAGAAAGCGTGTAAATTTCGCTGCTGGAGAATGATGTATGGAACCAGGCAAGATAGGAAGCTGAAATTTCACATAAATGTCCTTTGCCCTTCTATGAGCTAAGTGCTTTAAATTCGGCTTTAACACACGCCCACTTCACGTTTGTAGGAGACGCCAAAATTCAACTCGAAACTCCATTGGAGTAATGCCAACTAGAGAGCCAATTTGGCTAAACTTGCTGAAATATTTGTTTCTCAAACCCGGCCATGTTGAGACTTAGCGTAAGCCTGTGTCATTCGTTCAGAGATGTCAAAGTTATAAGTAACGAAAAACGATCTCGCAAGCCGGTCAAACACGAGAACTGAAACTTAACGAGGATATTCTATGCCTGTTTGCGACCTAAATATTTCATTTTCAGTTTTAAAACACTCCTAGGTCTCGCGTGCGTGCAAGCGAATGTCTAGTTTGGGCCACAGCTGGTAACCATTTAACTCGGTAACCAGAGTGAACAGGAAAAATACTTTTCTGAAAATATTTACTTTCTGCCCAAGGCCAGTAAGCGAAAAGCAGACTTTTGCTTGTGTGTGTGCCCGCGTATAGCTATGGTCAAATGAGGAAGTTCCAACATTCTTTTATTTACCGTCCTACTTCATAAACCAGCACTTTTACTTCGTGACCGATCAGTTTTCATTCCCGTAAGTTATTGCTTTAAACGGTGGCACTAAAGTGCTCAGTGTGGTCGTTATTGCTTATTATTTTGAGGGCATCGGCAATGTCGCAGGATTGATATAACCTGAGTTCATAAAGTGTGCTAGGCGATCCATAGCATCGACTTTTTTTAAAAGAACTGGCTTTGTTCAAAAGTGAGTACCAGTGGTTGTGTTCGTGTCATGGTGCGTAACACACCAGCTATTATCATTGAAAATTTCCTACTTTTATCCCCAGCTGCGGAAATGAAGCTTACTAGTGAAAGGATGTTTTGGTAACAAGGCTTTTTTTTAGTTTTTAATAAGTTTAGGAACCTCTTCTTGTTTGAATGCGCGAATTATGCGTAAGATTTAGCTAAATGTTGTGCTTTCTAGTCCAGTTTCTCTTACTTTATTTTTCTCTTAGAAACATTGCTATCAAAAGAACTAACAAAACTCACTCGGGATACTGCTACAGCAACTTGTGCAGCTAATAATCTTGTCTTTTTAGGACTGCTAGGGCTGCAACACGACATACCACCAAATAATGGTACACAAGGACGCTTAAACAAGGTGCTAAAAGACGTAACCGTCAAAGCACCTCAGAGGAGTGGACCAATGAAGGCATGCAGTGCTGAAAGGGTAAAGGAAAGAGGATTTTTTAACGCTTATTTGCAAAACTCAAACAGGCGCTATAAGCGAAATTATACCTCTGTGCGCAAGCGTGTATGCGTGTTTGCCTGTTTTCCTATACACTTTAAAATTTTAGAACAACAAAAGCTGGGAATCTGACTTCACAGAAAGATTATAAACATCCTAATGCGGAAATCATTGGTCCCATTTTATAATGTGAGAACTAAGAAAATTACGATCCGGAAGGTTTTAAAACTAAATTCATAAGACAGTGGGGAGAATGAGCTGAAGCCAGCTTTTCGTATCGCCGTCTCCTTAGGTCCACATTCACGCAAATACAATAGCTCAATAAAAAAAAATCAAAATTTATGGGTTCTAGTTTAGGTTACAATTTGGGATAATGACCTAAAACCAGCACTGTTACCGGATGCATCCTGCTCAGTCGACTCAAGCCTAAAATCAGGCATAGCGATTGGTTAACCTAACAACAAATTTGAGACCCTGTTTTTTATCAACCGATCACCGCAAGTTCACACGTGGGCTGAGATCACAACTTCAGAACAAAGCAGAGTGTGTATTTAATTGCTGTTGTTTATTATGCACTGGAGTGATGCAGAAATGCAGGCTTATCTTATTGTGACTGGTGTTATAAACTGGAAACTAGTCTGGATATTTTTGCCTCTGCTCGTGCATTAAGTTCTAAAATGAAGCTAATTTCAAACCTTTGTTGTGGTCTGGTGGTCTCAAGCTTAGGAAGAAGTATTAAATTTTCATGTCTTAGCTTATAGCGTACTGATGAGAAGTAATTTAAGGCTACAGTTCTTTGTGTAACCAATGCTCACTGCATGATTGCATAACTGAGGGGCTTTCAATGGTGCTAGAGAACTCTGCAGAGGTAAAATGCAAAAATATCGATCAAAATTGGTAACTGTAACACTTTCCTTATTGATCGGGTGTGACTGCACTATTTTTTGCGCTTATTCAGTAAACAGAACCACGTACATAATGCACTTGCGATTCTCTTAATGTGTTATATCAGTTTAGTGCCCCAGTTTCTGCCCCTGCCTTCCTCACCATTTCTTGTTCTGAAGCAGTGTCTGTAATTTTGCAGCTGGCGAAGAGTGGGGTTACGGTATGGCCACGCCTTTCTCCTTCCCAAAGAGAACTGCTTCTCGATGTCAAACTTACTCTCAGCAGACTGTTACAACTGCACCGGATAAGTCGGAGATACAAGACATTTTCAACTTGTCTTTCCTCGAAAGACTTGGCGTGTGAAAAAGAATGTTAGTCTCTAGGTGGCTGTTGAGGTAGTAAAAATGCCACTACTCGCGCCATGCCCTTCTCACGAATCAAATACAGTAAGTCTCTTTTTGGATACAAGAAACGAATAACATTCAAAGGCGATCGCAAAAGAAAACATGTGAGTATCAAGCTGTGTGCTTAGGGGAAGGAGGACATTGCTCTGAGTGTACCACGGCACGGAAAAATTTGAGTGTCGATTTTACGCTTCTGGATAGTTGAGTAGTATCTTGTTGAACTTCCAGCTTCGCAGCTTGCCTGGTTCGAATCATCCGAACAGACCGGCCAAAACACATACACAGAAGCTTGCTAACGGGCAAGCCAACAAGTATACATAAAAACACGCAAGTGAACACACGTGGACACATGCACGCAAACACATACATAAACACCCACAAGCAACTTCAGCTTCGTTTCGTCTATCTCAACTTTTTCCCTTACTATCATATTTCACATTTTATTCAATCGCCAAGCAGAAATGTCAGTTTGATAGCCAGAAATATTTAAATTGGAAATTTAGGCTTCTCTGTCACCCATACTGGTAGCCCGGACGGTTTTGTTATTCGTGGTATCCGCTTTGTACCCTCAGCAAATTATCGCAAAAGTCCAAGTCGATGCTGAGTGTTGCTATTTACCGCACTTTTTTCTTGCACTCTTTCTTTTCTGTGCGTTTTTTGGATTTAGCTCGAGAACTGGGAATTTAGAAAATTAAAGCTTTGGAGAATTACTCTGACCATCTGCCAATTCACAACATAACATCTAACTTACAGTCCCTCGATCCCAACTTACCCCAATCTAAATTCGGTTGAAGCTGTAAACAGGCAGTGAAGGAAATATCTGCTAACTTTTGACATGTATCTTATTTCATGAATGACAGATACTAACGCTGTCTTTAATGTCTTTTGATTCTTTTAGGTGCGGAAGTCGTGTCAACCAGATGTTGTCGTATCACTCTTTTCTGGAAATGTGGAAATGTGCCACCTGTCAAACTGCTCCGCTGGTTATTTGCAGTCAACTGTAATTCGAAGGCAAAATTTTCTTATAAAAAAGGAATTTATTTTTTCCCGCTTTCCAATTTTTGAATTTTTTTTCTTGTCCCTGCTCACTTTCTGAGCAGCAGTGCATCCAGTGAATGCAGGACCCATCTGCACCCCGTTTTAAGGGCGTTGTAGGCTGCTTGTTTGGAGGAAAAACTGCTAAAATTAGAAGTAGTCGGTATCAACGAAAAAAGTACAAATGTTGGCCAGGATTAGCAAAAATTCTATCAAAAAGACAAAAATTATTGCTAAAAGACAACAACGCTCGTAGCAGCAAGGCATTAAAATCGACTGTGAAGTATTTAAGTGAAACTGAATGGAGGGTAGGGGACGAGAGAAAGCGCGACAGCGCGCCTTAACTAGAATTATGTGAAATAAAATAACTCCTTTATCAGAGCATTAATTATGCGGAGGAATGAGAAAGGCTGGTTTGATTTAAAAGCAAAAAACTACGGGCAGCTGCTTGCCAAAGTCGGAAGCGCCAGCTTTTCAGCTTTGAGGTAGGATAGTTCACATTCTGAAAAGCATTTTCAAGTTTTTGCTGGAAAATTGCTATTCTGAGCAGATTTTAAATTGGTGTGCTTTCACTTCGAAAATGCCCTTACAGTCATTTAGCGCTGTTTAATTCCTGGTATGTATCTTACAAAAAAGCTCACTGTCTTATTATTAATCTTTGAGCTCTTACGTCTTCAGCTTCGAAAAGCATTAAAATTCAACCCAATCGCTGGAAGTTACTTTCTAGATGGATCTAAAACCGAATATGTGCGTGTATCTGGGAATTTTTTTCTGTTGTTTTGCGCTTATATTTTGCGTGTTTGGGCAACGCACGCCTTACTGTTGTTCAACTCATTGCAGATATATGATGCATTTGTGAGAATTATTCTCTGATAGCTGCATTTACTTCTTTTGGTCGGCGTTAGCAACTACTGATCGTAAAAAGCAGAATATGATGGGTTTTTCTGTATTATTGAATTCCAACAAAAGTTTATTTACAAAGATCTTGTTTTTTGTAGTGGAAAGGAGAATCAAGGAGTGGCGTTGATTGAGCGCATCAGACCGGAAAATCCGAACCCGAAAGATGCACGACTGGTGTGGCGACCAAATCAGCCTACTGGTGCTACTCCAGATATGAAGCAAGAGCGACTGAAACTGCAGCTACCAAAACAGACTATTGCTACTCAAATTATTAGACAGGAACAACTGAAGTTACAGCCACCGAAGCAGATTAGCGTTACTCAGAATATTCATCAAGGACAACTCAATATGCACTTGCCAAAACTGTCCATTGTCAGTTTGAGCTCAAAAGGTTACATTGCTTATCAAATTTCTTTGATTTCAGTAACTTTTTATTTGACTGTGTTAACAGTTAATATCATCACGTGCGTAGATTTGTGTTAACATGCATTTCTGCTATTACTACAGTTCATAATATAAATAATATATATATATATATAAAAGTGCATGTGTAAGTTTATTTATTTTTGCTCATATACGCCAGGATTTTTCATTTGGCAGTTTGAAAAGGTAGAATTGGCAAATAGAGAAGTTCAGCCAACTACAGTCCCAGAAACGTAAGCTCGATCCCCAGCTCACTCTGCATGTGTAATCACCCGGGACTTAAAAATTACACATCTGCGAGCTGCGTCTGGTGTTACCGGGTGCAACTTCAAACTTCTCATTCTTTTCAAGAGCTGCTTAACCTTCCTCTCGTTATCGTTGCTTGTTAGGATTACAGAACTTTGTTGGGCCTCATGAAGCTATCTTCGCAGTCAAACCGGCCGAAAACAATATGGAACGAAAAACTGACTCTATTTTGATAACAAAGCCCGCAACGAAAGCTGTCAATTTATTCATTTTCTAACGGCTGTGTTTTTCAGATGATGAAAGTCTAAAAGTTTATCTTCATTCCGATTTTGTCAAAGGTCAGTTATCTTGTATAATACGACGATTTTTGCTAGTAAGGCATTCAAAATGATTCAGAATCTTTGTTCTAAAGCCCACTTAGCGCCGTCCATTTTAAAAACTCCTTTCAATTTCTACAAATAATCTACCGGATAGTCTGAAAGTTGCAGATGCTTACGAAACGCACAAAAATAATTGATCACTGCTGGTTGCAAAAACCCAAATAAGTTATCGATAAATCATGAAATCCCGAATCTGTATTTCCTCCTCCCTCATCCGGAGCCGCATAATAAACTTCATGTTTTCGCTAGACTGCTAATGGTGATATTTTTGAGAGTGAGTTAGTGAACAGGTGAGCGAGTGTGTCAGTGAGTGGTTGAGTAGGCGTGTGAGCGAGTCAGCATGAATCCCTTACTGCTGCGAAATATACGACGCATTTTGCAATGGTTGGCGGCGTCGTTACGGGCGAGGAGGCGTATGCGCTCTGACAAAAGCCAACGAGTTTCACAGTAAGAGCATTACGGATATGCCGTTTCTCATTAAAGCAAAGAATTTTTGAGCTCTCTTCTGTTAAGAGAAAAGCAACGGAAAAGTTGGTCACAAGGAGGGGGCGCGTAATTTAGATAGAAATTGCGAAGTGGTAAATTTGTTTAGAAGCTTATTTACCCCAAAGCCCTGAAAAAATGTCATTTTATAAGCAAATGCAACGTGGTTAGCAAATGGGTCAGGGTTGGTTTAAGCGAAAGAAGGACAAAATTTGGATGCTGTTCTAAAGCTTGGAGATTTCCCTGTCAAAAAGTGAAACTTTGAATGACAGGTGCATTGCGAGTCCGCGTCTGTTTGAAATTCCAGTTTAAGTTTCAAGCGGCGTTTATCGTTGGTATTTCTCATGTGTGCTTGCCTGTAGAATCACAGAAGGAATAATTTTTATGCACTTTTGCATCTTGCACAGATGTGAAAACGTCTACTACCAAAAGTTTGTTCGTGTGTATGTATGTGTGTGTGTGTGTGTGTGTGTTTGAATGTGCGTTCGAAAGCGAGTGAACTTAGTCGCCTGTTTTTAACTTAGCAACCTAGGAAACTGGGAGGCTGAAATTGTGGAACCTTATTTTTGCCCACAGTGTCACCCTCCGATTTTAAAATTAAAGCTTATGCGCGTCCAGGTCCACGTACGGACGCTTAAAAAAAATATGTGAACTTTGGCGGGCGATTTTGGGAACGGCAAACGTAGGAAGGTATAGCCTCGCCGGGATATCCTTCGGCCATGTGAGTGTGTGTGTTGAAGATCTTGAATTCAGCATTGACACATCTTCTACGTCAGGTGCACGAACACATCAAAACTGAGATTTCGTTATCGTTAGAAAAACACCAGTTCGGGAACTAATCTAAGTTTGAGAAAATATTTGTTTTTTACACGTAAGCATAGAACGAGCTTTGGTGTACGCCTGTACAGCAAGTTCAGACATGTCAAAAATATACGCGACAAGAAGTAACTTCGCTAACCAGTCAAGCTCTAAAACTGAATTTTTACGAGGATGTTCTGTGCCAAAGTGCGATATATTTATTTCAAATTCACTTCTAAAGTGCGCGTAGTCACACTTGCGCGGAAGTGAACATGTAGTTTAGGACAGTGTTGGCACTCAATTAAGGTGGTAACCAGACTGAGCAGGAAGCAATATTTTTCTGAGGTTGTTTGCTGTTCATGGGCCACAAAGCTTCTGTCTTAGGAATGGATCCCGCGCACAGACATGTCAAATGTTCAAACTGCAGTACAGTAGCCATAGCCCTGTATTACAGCGTTCTCTTTTCGAGAAGAAATCATGCAGAAGTGCATGTTTGTACCGGCAAACTTAATGCATTGCTATCGGTGTTTGATTTCTTTTCTGATTTAAATTTCGCTGTGTGCTGAATGAAAAATAGATTTTAGGGCATTATATGGATTTAAAGAACTTAGTCTCAGATTATGCAAAGTTTTACGGCGAGCTACTGGTTATGAGCGGACCAGTTTATGATTTCGATAATAATGGAGTTGCTGATCCAAAACAATCGCGAAGGTAAAACAGAGAAATTAATCATGGTTTATAAGAAAATTCCTCTTTTGCTTGTCATCATTTTTTTTAAGTTGGAAACAGAGCATCTTTGTGCATGAACACCATAGTTCTCGGGAATGCTTCTGTGTAGTCAAGAAATGCGAACACCTGTACATCTCATGCTGACCTGAAGAGCCAGTGAGGTACCTACTACAAAATATCAACTAATATGATTAGATTTAAAGCGGTTAATAACTTGAATCGCATACTCGAATGCGAATTGCCATTTTTTAGCAACTCAGTGCCAAGTCACATATTCTTTGTAATATTCCGTTGCGAAAAATCGGAATGGCTTCGCGATACATTCCAGTGCAAGCAGCCGGATGCGCTTCGAGCACTGTCATTTGTTCTACCGAACGTGAAGCACGATTACAATTGCCTGGTAAGCTTCTTATGACTTATTCCACATTTGCTAAACGGCCTTGCCGGCTTTTAAGTTTCATCTTTTTCAGTACTACAGAGTGCGGTTTTGAAAACGGGATCTGTAACAAAAGATAAAGAAAATGATGTTGTTTGTAACCGGAGCACTCATCGGGCAGTGGAAGCTTTCAGTACCCCTTTGTAACCATTGCGGAAATGAATTGTTTCGT